TTATGTGTTTAATATTTTATCGTTTAAACGGAGTAAAGTGCATAAATTGATATTTTTATGTCCTGATTTCTGGTTTTGTATAAATTATTTTCTATTTTTTTTTTTATTGGATTTAAATATAATAAAAATGACACCACATTAAACCTTTTCCCAAAAATGTAAGGTTTAAAAATTATCATAATCTTAATTAGACCTGTAAGATAATATATAATATCATGTATTTACAAGTAATTCGAAAAAGTATGAACCAATAATTCATTGTTACCGCAAATAAATTGTTGAAAAAAAATCACAGATACCCTATTTAGTTTTTAAACAATAATTATACACACAGGTTTTGAGCATTACAATAAAGTAATTAAATTACCTACCACAAACATTTAAATTGAAAACATAACATTCAGCTCCCATATATTTCTAATATTAAAAACAAGTATCATTAACAAATCAAATAAATAATTGATAAATAAATAAAGATAGATAAATATTATTTATCTTATCAAAAACTGGAGTAGTTCAGCTGTTGTTGGGATACCGTTTGCAATTTATTTTCAATTTTCAGGCATTTTGGTTTTTACAAAGTGTGGTGCAGTAGAGATGCTGTTCCTTTATCATTTTAATAAATAAAATGTCTGGAATTAAAAAATTGAATAGGTCATCGGCAAGTATATAACATTTACTAAATAATATTATTGTTATGAAAAATGGCAAATCACGTGTTTTATTCTTTGAGTGGGTCCACAGTTACTTAACAAATGTATAAAGTGGTAGGTACCTTTTTTCATGAATGGAAAAATGGGTAATCTTATACATAGGCATATTAATACGTCTCATAATGCATATCGCGTCGGTATTTGGTGTGCGTGGTATTTTTTTCTCTAAAATTTTTAATGTGTCGATTTTATAAATAATGCAATATTTGTATAAACCGGAAAGCCGTAGCTTGGACGGTTGCCGAAATATTTAAGTAAAACTTGACAGAACCAGCTTTTTAACAGAGAAAAACGAAATCATTGCGTGGATATATGATTATTTAAGGAAAAAGCGGACGCAAGGAATCAGCATAAACAGGTATTTTATTTAGATAAAACATGGCTTAATGCTGGACATACAGTAGCAAAAATTTGGCAAAATACCTCTATCAAAACTAAAAAACAAGCCTTTATTGATGGGATTTCTTGTGGATTAAAAACTTCAACAGGAAAAGGAAATCGTTTAAAAATAACCCACATTGGAATATATTTTTAATATTATAAATGAAGTGGCCCGAGAAAAAGAAATTTATATTCTTTACCACGAAGAGTTAAATCCGATTGAACTAAAAGGTTATGTTTCTCGAAACAATACATTTAAATTATCTGATGTGCGAAATTTGTTTTTGAAGGCAGTTTCAGATATAGATGGAGAACAGTGGAGAAAATGCATTGATCAAAAGGTGGAAAATTAATTTTGGAAAGTGGATATAGCAATGGAAAACTTAATAGACCATAGAACCTCAGAAAATCAATGATAATGATACCAGTAGTTATAGTGAAGACAGTGACTTTTAAAGATAGTTCTTGAACTTTTTATTTTTTTTCTTTTATTTTAGGTACTGAAGAGTTACTTTTAATGCCTAGAGATTAAAAAAAGTTTAATCATATTAACAACATATAATCCTCCTTGTTATTTATTGGTACAATTTAATTCGTTCAATTTTAAAGTGCATCAATTTTGACAGAACCATAAGGTTTTTTTTTTGTAAATAATATTAGGGTAGAGAAGCACCAGTAAATGAATGGTTAAGGCTTTCTTTACTTTTAAATTATGCCTATAATTTTTCCACAACACATATTTACGACAACTAAATTTCTCTGTGAAGCTGAAATAATTCCTAATCCAATGTTATTATTAAAATAATTTTAATGGCTTGCAACAAGATAAAAGAAAATTTAATTTATTCAGAAAATCCTAGAGAATGAACGCTCAATACCAGTAAATAAACCCTCCTGGTCTAGTGAATGTAAGTTCAATACCAGTAAATAAACGCCCCTAGTCTAGAGAATGAACCAAGAAAGTACCTATCTAAAAAATTAGGAAAATTATTGTAGAAATCAATAAATAATGATTTATTGTAAAAAAAAAAACGAAATACAGGTAAGTAGGCATTATGAGTCTAGTTGGTACTAAGATGTATTTGGCAATTTCTTGACATTCGTAGCATCCTAGTTTTTTCAGAATAGGTGGTACAATTTCTTCCTTAATCTTCCATGATCTTTTGGATTCGGTCATTTAAATAAATTGAAGCCAAGTGGAGTCATAGTTTTTACCTCGCATTCATCCTCTACTATATTAACAACTATTCCGGGAAAGTACTTCTCTTGGTATCTGATTATTACGTAAGAACCTATGGTAATTTGTCCTTTTTCTTTTTCTGGTGATGTAGATACACCAGATGTTATAGTAGCAGTTAACTTATTCATTCTGAAAGTTGTTTTTGTTTTTAGAATAATAATAATAGATGTGATCAAATTTTTAAGGACCACTTGCAATTTTGTAAAAATTTGGGTAATTTTTCGGACCCAACACTTTAGCACTTTTTCGACAAGTCTGCAGCCCTGTCTCATCTGCATTACAAATTGTGCTTGTATCATTTAGTATGTCTGTATAATTTTCACCCTGTATTTCGAATGGTTATTTTTGGGTGTCTTTATAAAAATAATTTTAACCACTTTCAGCCAGGCCTGTCATCAACAAATGGATTTTCTCGTTGGACTGTCTTTAAAACGCGTTAAACAGTCTTTTACTTCATTAGCATGCATGGGAAATCCTAGAATTGCTTTTGAAAGAATCCAATTTTCTAAAAGATTTTCTCCATCTGTCGTTAAAATTGCGGTGGGGCCCATTTTTCGGACCAATGGGACTCTTCTCTTTATCATGTTAAAGAGTGTGCTTTTTAATATTCCATATCTTCTTCTTGCACCACTAATCGAAAGTTCATTCTGTTTTACCTTTTCAACGCTTTCAAGGCTTTCATCAGAATACTGAAATATTCTATATTTCTTTCTATCATCCTTTGACCTGCCAAGGAATTCAAGAAAAATATACTAATAAGTTAAGTACTGTCGCGCGAAAGCCTACCCTGTCCGTTGTTTACTCCCGCGGTATGGAGTCTAGCGGCGCTCTGGCATTGTAGAAACAATCAGACGCTTTTCGAATATACCAGAACAAGCGGTAGGTACGAGACGTTGAGTCATAGAGATGGAATACTAGGGCATTCCACACCGTCTAGAGTATTCTGGTTACAGAGTTGGCTTGATATAAATATCGCGAGTTTGAAGACGGCAGTCAGTTGATTATAGACAGTTTAGTACAGAGTATTGGAATTAAAAGTTAAATTGTAATAAATAAATTAGAATTGTTAGTCAGTGTCTAAGTATTATATAAATTAATTAGTACGTCTTAAATAAATTGTAAATAGTGTGTTTTAAATAAATAAACTATAAACAAATTAGACTATCGTTACAGTACCTAATAGGGTAGCTAGGTAGGTCACTAAAAGCTCAACATTATAAACATATTTAATATTTAATTTGGCAAGTTCTTTCACTGATCTAATGAATGAACGGCAACTTAAATGACGTTCATTTACTGGACACGGTCATTAAATAAATATACTAAGTAGAAAATATTAATCTGCACTTAATGCTGTTCTTTTTAAGGTATATAATGCTATAATACGTGTAATCCTAGCCTGACCCGGTGAATGAACAATTATTTAATATTATATAGACTCGTAAATACCTGAAACTGTAAATAATCGTTTAAGATAGTCAATAACTTTAAAACTTAGGAGTGTAGAAATCTTATTAAGTGCTATTTTTACTTACATGGTTTCTTATTAGGTCTATACCTCCAACAAATCTGTTGACATACACACGACTATACCGATTATTTTCTGGAACCGAACTAATTGACTTTTGACAAACAGAGATAAAGAGTTTAGAATCATATAGAAAACCTATATGTGGTAGAGAGATGCGACATAATCTTAATAATCGCGAATTAGTTCAAAATTGTTCATTTACTGGTGCCGTTCATTCAGTGGTGATTCTACCCTATAAACTTTTTTCATTCAAAATTTAATCTACGAAGTACGTGTATACAATTTCATATGCCGTCACCTTATTTATATTATAGAAACTTATTTTGCAAAGTACGCCTATGGAATGTGACGTTATATCCCCACTTTTACTGCACTCCTCTTTTATACTGGCTATATCAGAGGAAAGACATTTTATTTAATAACGAAATTTGTGTTTAACAATATGTAATCATATTCCGTATTTATTTTTGGATTTTTATCAAACCGATTTAATTACGAGTATATTGTCTTTTTTTTTAAATTCAGTTCATCAGTAATGACAAATGACAGGGACAAATATTAATATTAACGTTTTATCTATATTATTTTCAAGATTGTATTAATTTAAACATTTTAGGCTTTGTTACTGTTTCCCAGCGCCACTTTAGGAACAGCACTGTTAGAACCCAACAGTGAATGATCGAGTGGGGAATCCTACCTTGTCTAATGCATAGGTAGGATTCCCCACTCGACCATTCACTGTTGGGTTCTAATTAACAGTGCTGTTCCTAAGGTGGCGCTGGGAAACAGTAACAAAGCCTACACAGAACACGAGGCTAATGGCCGTAGTAGTCGACGCCGATGACACCAAATTAAAAAAAAAATAATAATTTGGTTACATAACTTTAAACTACTTTTTTTAAGTCATATGGCTATGGCTGAATTTTGTTGAAATGCCGTCAAAAACACAGTAGCGTGCAGGTTTCACGCGATACATCAAAAAATATTTTTTATCTTATTACATTTTTGGAACGATCTTTACCATCTTATCAAGATAACAGAAATCGTTATTGTATTAAACAAATCTGAGAGATCTGAAGGTTTTTCTAATTAATACTAAATGAATAAAAAAATAATCATTCTTTTTGTTTTTCAGAGTCAAGATAGTTCTTCAAGAGAACGTATAAGTATCACCAACAGTACCAATAATATTGAAATCAGTTCACCACAAGACATTAAATCGGATCCTAGTAAAGACAAAGATAGGAGAGAAGGAAGAAGCAAAAAAAAATCTTCCTGGTTCAATTCTCTCTACCCTACATATAAGTCTAGATCTGAAGATTTTAAAAAATTATTCAAAGAAGTACCCGATGATGAACGACTAGTTGTAGGTACGATGTACTTAAATAATTCTTATTTATTAATACGATGCGAGTCAAAACTAAGGAATTAATTCGACTAACGTATTGATTTTTGTTTAGGTTTACTTTCACTAAGACATTTATTTTATAACTCAATTTATTTGTCCAAAATCCAACATTAATTTATATCCCTTTTACTGGTACACTAACTTACATTGACTATATTTATTTGATCAGAAATAAATCTAAAACTGGAACTGAACTTAAACGGCAAAACTTAGTCTATTTATATGCATGTGTGGCACTCCAGAATTGTTCTCGAACATTCTAGATAGTTTTCAACTAAAAATCGGTTCCCCAGCACCTCTGACAGATCATACTTTGGCGTATCCAGCATATTTTAAAAGAACGTTACTTCGACGAGCATGAGCGTTTCATAGGGGTTTCAAAGGTTGACTTATTAGAGAGGAAATTTAGTGATTAGATAATTACCAGACTGGTCGAAAATGGCTCGCATGCCATTATTATTTTCACTCATCACCATGTACGAGTATATCCGAATAATATGTCAAAAAGTGCAGGTTTTAAAAACAAAATAGACGGGTTTTGAAAATTTTTACAAAAATCAATATTAAATTTATTCTGTACTTTTGACTCAAACTGTATGTATTCTTTCCTAATTCAGACGGTCCATGTAGTTTTTTATTTTTATTTGATTTCACACTATTCTTTTATTCCCGCATTGAAGGCCAATGAATAGAGACCAAATTTTTTTTACATTTTTCAATTTTAAAGGAGAATGGGCAGTTTTGCCCCACCCCCTAATAGGAGTAAGATATATGTCAAATGAAATATATCAGTAAGGGGAACATTTGTTTTTATTATGACTTCTCTTAATTATACGTCCGTTCCGAGTTATATCATAGTGCATGTGACAAGACAGGTTTTTTGTTAAAACCCCTTTCTTATAACTCTGGAAGATCTTTTACTAGTGAGTTCTGACATAAATCCCCCTCCCACTTTTTTCATGGTAACACTAAACAAAAACCCAAATCCTATGGTGAGGAAATGCGTAGTTGCAAAGTTACATATGATTTAATTTTCACTTTAGTTGAAATCAGTTGTGGAGAAACTGTTGCCATGAGAACGTTTTTCATGGTAACAAATAAACAAAAATCCAAATCCCGTGAAGAGAAAATACGTTAAATGGCTTTATATTCGTTGTAATGTAACTGGGGTAATAATATTTATGACTGTATTATTATGTTTGTCCATTACCTTGGTGTCGTACCATCCCATTCAACTTCATGCCGTCAGTATGACGTGATTTTTTGGTGTCCGTTACGTTATCTGATGACGTGAAAATAACGTTATGGTAACGTGAGAATGTCACACCGTAATGACGTCATTTTATATCGTCATTTTGACGAATCGATGTCATGTTAAAGTAACGTGCATATTGGGTGTCCTAGGCTAGGCAAAATGACGTCATTATCACAAATTTATCTAACGTCAAAGTACGTCTATATTTGGTGTTCCAAGGTTGGATGGAATTATTAAAAATACTAAGCAGATGAAAGTTATTATTTATTTAATCCAAAAAACACAACATACCTAAAATTGTAGGTTTAATTTTAATTGAGGGTGGGCGAGTATGATTTACGATTTCATCATCTTCAGTATCATCGAATGACAGCTTTCTAGTTGGCACCCGTTTTCTTTATCAGCCTCGGAATGTAGCTTTGAGGTAACTTCGACTTTTTTTAATTTGGTACATCACTTATCATCTAAAATAAATAAGTATTAAAATACAGACCACTGAAAATACTTAAAGACAAAAAGTAAATTGTGTATCTAGTTGTAAAATCTGAGGGGATTACTTCACCGGAGATTTAAGTAGTAGCCCCAAACCAAAAAAATACCTTCTCAGAGGCATACATATAGTCTGGGTTTTTATATTAAAAAGTTATTTAAAAAAAGATCATAAATCTTGTGAGATGATAAAAGGTATCTAAATCAAGTGATCCCCTACAAATCTTTTGTTTTTAAATAAACTATTAAAAAATACCTTGAAAGAACTCATCAAAAAATATGATCATATATCCTGTGAGATGATAAACGGTATCTAAATCAAGTGACCTCCTACAAATCTTTCGTTTTTAAATAAACTATTAAAAAATACCTTGAAAGTACTCATAATCAAAAAATAAAAGTATAATTGAATCGTTTATTTCAGAAACAACCGAAGTTACTTTGAGAATTTTCAGGAGGTGAAACAAAACATTTTGAACTAGGACCAGGATTAAGTCTGTTTCAGAAACAAACGAACATTTTAAATTGTCATGTAACTAAGGATTTTTACGGAAGTTAGATTTTTCTGCATTAAACTTGTGTTATTATGAAACTACAATGTTAATGTGATAAACCCAATATGTACAAAAAGTAACTTAGGTTGTTTCTGAAATAAACAATTCAATTACTCACCGGTCTTATATTATATTTCTTGCCTGGTAACAGCTTTTTTTCTTTATAAAGGCAGCCAAAAGACTTGTTTTTTACGCGGCGTCAGCTATTTTCTGACCGTCATCAAACTCAACAATGCATTACATCTGTAAAATACCAAATTCGGTTTAATATACTTTATTATTTTGTCGCATTCTATTTTTTACCTTTCTAAAACATCTTATCAAATAAAGTACAATTTAAAAATGCACCACGTTCACGACGTCACGACTGTCACGAGAATCATAGAGATGGAGGTAACAGGAAATGACAATATGACATTGACAGAATATTTTTTAGTTTAGTACTAGATTGATATAAATAATTGTACCAGATTTCATAAAAATGTACTAGAATCGGTTTCCTCTCTGGTTGCCTTAGGAATATTATCAATTGTTTAGGATTTATTAGGTCTTTATGGTACTTTTACTAGTTTAACTTATATCATTTACACTGGACGATAGCAGACAATGTACTGAATTTCGTTTCTAGCGTACCTGTTACATTTAGGATGTACTAGATCCAGTACAATTGTACTAGATTAGCAAAACTCATTGTCATTTGAAATTCGAGAACATTGGAATTGGGTTAGCCATACGTTAAAAAGAGACAGGCAACAAGATCTTGAATGATTAATGCTAGAAAACGGAACGTTACTAATTATCCATATCAAAACATAAGGCACTGTAATATTACAAAAAAAAATTACAGACTGCAGATCGAACAAACTTAATCTATACGTGTTTTCAGTTGAAGCAGATTTGATATTAGGTTCTTTATAATTCATCACTTAAGTATTAAAATATACGAGAAAATAACGTAATTATGACGAATTCTAAGTGACGTCATCAATGCGACGTCAAATATACGTTACTGATTAGGATAAATAAATAAATAAATACTAAAAAATTACGTCATAATGACAAGTCTGTGTTGACGTCTAATTAACGTTGCAAAAACGACGTCAAAGTAACGGCATTAATTGGGATAATGACGTTTCTGACGAGTAAATCCCAAAAAATCACGTCATAATGACGGCACCTTGCTGCTTGGGGTTGGACGTGGTCCTTTGGAGGGCATACGTGGGACCGTATAACCAACACGTGGTGGATAAAATCCTCGACTGCATCATACAGTGAGCACCATAAGTCTTACTCATTACTGGAGTCTTGTTAGGAAAATTTCCGAGACACGTCGATTTTTGTTTTCTACAATGTACATTTTTGTACGAATAGTTTACCCTTAATTTCATCCCTTACTGGAGGGGAGCAACCCTTTCGAAAAATTTAAATGGCATGGAGTGGTGAGTGATAGCTCATTTGAAAGAGAGTTTTATTCTCTATTCAACCGTGTAAAAAATTATGAAATTTGCTTCATTAATTCTCGACTAATTGTTGTTTCAGAGTAACGGAAATTAACGTAGTGCACTCATCCTTCGAATTAAAATTCGGCCCTGCATGATTTCGGTTTTGGTTCAGACTTTTTGCCATTAGAAGGTCACTGTTAGTTTAGTTGCTTTCCTATTTTGTGAGGTTTTGTTATTTTTAAACATTAATAAATCAACACGTAATGAAGCAAATTTCAAATTTTTTTGCACGGTTGAATAGAGAATAAAATCCCCTTTCAAATGAGCTATCACTCACCACCCCATGCCATTTAAATTTTTCGAAAGGGTTACTCCCCTCCAGTAAGGGATGAAATTAAGGGTAAACTAATCATACAAAAATGTACATTGTAGAAATCAAAAATCGACCTGTCTCGGCAATTTTCCTAACAAGACTCCAGTAATGAGTTAGATAGGGGGGGAGGGGGGGTAAGACTTATGGTGCTCACTGTATAATATACCTGGATATTATAATTGTTTTTATATTATTAAGAAGTAATAATATAAGCACTGGCCTATCGGGCAATTAGTTATATTTAGGTTGAGTGAGTCGTAATAAAAATAAATGTTCTCCTTAAAAATATCTTTCAATTTGTATATTACTTATTCTTATTGAGGGTGGGACAATTTCCCTTACAATTCTGCCCATTGTCCTTTACTGCAAAGATAAAATTACCGACTGAATCGAAATAAAAATTTCTGTAAAAGGAGTACACCCTTCATTTTGGTCCATGTGATTTTTGCTTATTCCCTAGATGAAAAAGGAGGCCACCGATTTGAGTCAAATTTTAAGTTTTATTTAGTTTTTATAAATAACACTTTTCTTGTATTTTATATTAATTTTCGACACATCCTCGAAAATGTAATAAATGTTTATCTATTCATACTTCAAGAAGAGCAAAAAATTCAGATAAGATAAAATTATTTCTGTACAGGTGTTTGATTTGTTTGATTACAAATAGAAGTATCGGCAGCTAGAAAATATTTTTGATTCCCTCATATACATCACATCAGGTAAATGATCTTTAATACTTTCCTTTTCAGATTACTCTTGCGCATTGCAAAAGGAAATCTTACAACAGGGCCGTCTGTACGTAACGCAAAACTACCTCTGTTTTTACGCAAACATTTTCGGCTGGGAAACGAACTTAACTTTAAGATGGAAGGACGTCGCTTCTATAACGAAAGAAAAGACCGCCTTGGTGATACCGAACGCGATTTTGATCAGCACCAAGGGCGACAAGTACTTTTTTACGAGTTTTGTGTCGAGAGAGAAGACTTATTTAATGTTGTTTCGTGTATGGCAAAACGCACTCATGGATCAACCTATGTCAGCTCAAGAAATGTGGCAATGGGTATAGTATTTCTAATATTTATTGAATAAGCCATACTTTTAGCTAAAATCTATGCTTATATTGTTTCCAATGGGAGAAAAAAGAAAATAATGATAAATTTCGAAAATATATGACAAAAGAAACATCCTAGAAAATTTTTGTCTTTTAAACATGTGGAGCGATCCACAGAAATTTTTTCTAAAATAGACCTTGGAAAAATTTTCGCACGTTGCACATACAGGTATTTGCACGATCTACGCAGCCAAAATTATTTTTGTGCTTATTTGGTATCTAAACAACGTAAATAAATCGAATTCTAGCGTGTAACACAGATATGCCGAATTCAAGGGCTGTAAAATTCACTTCTCCTGTATAATCCAATTTATTAAAATCTTTCGAGGTTGCCCCACATATGTAGCACCTACTCGTAGACTTTGTGCCTGTAGCTGCATTGCAGACCTTTCCTTCTACCATGGTCATGATAAATTTGTGCTTGATTAACAACTTTTTCCCTCCTAGGTCGACCTCTGTTGGAACTAAAGAGGTAATAGCGTTTTTGACGTGTGTTATTTCCTCTTCAGTTACATCATTAGTTTCCTTGATAAAACGGAATCTTATTGGTCGACAAAATCGCGGTGAAGAGTGCGTTGGATTATTCTATAAAAATTTTTAATTTTTATCTCCAGAAACTAATTGAAGAGGCACAAAACAGCTTTGGAATATGCTTGAATCCGAATCATTGTCACTTTCTAGTTTTTGTTTGAACTGTGATTGCATCGCAGCCCCATTTACTAATTATAGTTAGGCAATCACGCTCTTTCTCCTTTAAAGTTATTAATACCTCTTCTAGGTACTCCGATAAAGCCTAACGGTAACATCCATTAGAGGCTGTAACTGAGCTTTGGCACTGGTACTCGTTACCATTAACGATTTTTGAGGTGGGTAACATTTTTTATTGGTTTTTCTTATGATTTCGTACTGTCCTTGCGTCAAATCGGCATCTATAAACATTTGTAAAGCTTGCATTGGTGTCAAGGAGTGCTCTTTGCTTGATTTCGTAAGATAAGCCTTTTTATATTTAGTTGCTCGTGTCGGAGAACTGGTGATATCTTTTAAGACATTTGATGCATTTTTTTACCAGATTTTCGCAGCTCCACTTTCGCAGCATGTATTATGATCTCCTTTTTAAAATTAGAACGCATTTCTTCAGTTTTTCGTCTTTTGCTTCTCTCACTTGCATCTTCAGACGATTTGGATGGTCGACCTGGCCGTTTTTGTGAAGCCCCAACGACAGGTATTTCAAAAGTATCTTCCAGCCAAGATCGGTTGTATTTTATAAAATTATCTTCTTTATAATGAGCTTTGGTCCACCTTTGTTTAATTTCTGATTTGAAATGGACAAAACCACGTTTCAAATTAATAATTTGATCTTCATTATAACCTTCACATGACAAAAGTTGATCTTTTAGATAGTTTAATTTGGCATTTAAATTTGGCAAATTTTCTGTCTTCATGCGGTCATATAAGTATTGTCGGGTCACAACCTTATTCCTGATGCACCCTCCAAACCTAAAACAAACATACACTATGTTAAAAGCCGCTAATAAACATTTCCAATTTTATACGAAATTTTGCTAAATATCTTTAATTAATGCCTCAAAGCTGTATTTATCCGGACGATTCCGGAGATGTTTTTGTTAGCATTTATAAGGAAAAGGATCATATAATAACCTATAATGATAACTATAGCTCGATCTACCCCGATACATAAATAAAAACACTAGAATAAAAAAATATTTAAGGAAATCACTGTATGAAAATGAGTTTTTTTTTGTTATAAAAAAATTATATTGTATAATGGATAATCATGACTTTATTAATGTAGTTTGGAAGTTTCTTACCTTGTCCATCAGAATCCATCACTTTCAATTCGTAAATAGAACTTAATAACATAAAAATTCACGTTAGAAGTTTAACGTTTAGAAAAGCATGGAGAGAACAGATACTACACTAGGTAAAACGGTCAAATTCTGAATGACGCTAGGGTTGGGGGGTGCGAGATAGCAGGTAGATGGGCATGGGTATTGTTCCCGGATTCGTCCTCGTTCGTGGAACTCGTTATTATGAATGGTATTGTCACCGTACATAAACAAAGAATAGTAAATCCACTCTCCCAGTCGCCTTTGAAGTTTTTTGCACACAAGCTTGCCGCCGTTTTTGTCTCTTCACACACATTCCCGGGCATATAGGTGTATTAATAAACAGCGAGCGCAGGCTGATTGCATGCTCTTTCGACTGGCGGCGTTGGACCGGTCTGTACAGAGAGTGGATTTACTATTCTTTGTTTATGTACGGTGGTATTGTTATTTTGTTATTGGGACTTTTGGCCGCGTAGATCGTGCAAATACCTGTATGTGCGTCGCTAAGAGGTGCTTCTCTTATATCTGTCGGTGTTAGCCAATTCTCGCAGAACACAAATCTTCTAATAAGAGCGTCGGGCAATTGTAGAGGATATGCTCTATTCTCATCTTCTTATTCGCATCCCCTGCAAAGTGCGGATTCTGACAGCTCCATGATATGAAGATGCTTCCGACCAGTCAGAATGCCTGTGATCAGGTCCAAATTCTGTCTAGGCGTAATCAAGTATTTGTTGTAATGTTGTCAAGGTAACCTAAAAGATTCTTGGCAACTCTGCAGTTTCTTGTTTCATTCCATCTTTCCTTGAATTTCACAAAGTAATGTTCTTTAATTAGGACTGTCACTACCGATTTTGTCAGACTAATAGAAGAGTCAGTCAGGTTTAAAAGTATTTGGTTGGCTAATGAACCAACAAGGCGGTTACCTTTTGATGTGGGATGATCTTTGATCCATCTGAAGTTGACCATATTGTTGATGGATACTTTGGCCAAAGCTTCGTGACATTCTAGTACTATGTAAATACCTATCAATTTATTGAATATAAAAAAATCCCATTCTATTTCGTCTTATACACAGCTACCGGCAGAATCCAAATTTTGATATTTAATACCATGGCGTCTACATCTACTGGATGCAAACAAAAGGTGAAAATAGAGGATGGTGCGACACACCACTAACTTTAACAATATTTGCAAACTGTTTATATCGAAATAGTGTGAACGTTTACATTGTATCGAAAAACCTTAAAACTTTGTTTAACAATGGCAGTTGAAAAGGAAATAAATATAAATTCTCTTTGTCTTATTTGTAGCCAGTATTTCATAGGAACTAAACAGTTCAATCTTAACTTACTTTAACGTTTTACAAAATTTAACAACACGCGAAAATATAAATTCCTTTAGCTCCCAAAATATCAAGTTTTTTCTTTTCAGTTATAATTTTGACGGTAGGTTCTTTCAAAAAAAAAAAATAAATTAAAACATTTTTTTTATTTCGAAACTATGTAGATACATTGTACATTGTTTTTAAAATAACTTATCTTTTTAGCCTTAATTTAATAAGATAAATAGTGAAATTCAAATATGAAACGAAGCCTTTCACGGTCAAAGTAAATCTTTATTTAAAAGATTTACAAAAATGTGTTTTTAATTTTGCTATTTTTAATCATCAGTTACGTCAATATACAAAACTGATAGGTTTTTATACCTTATCAAGTAGTATTATTAATAGAGAATCTTTGTTTACAGCTATTAAAACATAACCTTAAGGTGTTCATTCTTTCTAAAGAACAAATATTTTACATGTGTGTTGTGCAAAAAACAAACATTGGTGAATATACATTATTTCAAAAGTCATTGTGAAATTATAATTTAGGTTCAATAATTTGACCTGTAAGTAAATTTTATTTATTATTTTTGGTGATTTAATTTTAATTTTGTTTGATCATATATTACACTTAATTGTTTTAGATTTAACAGAGTTTACTTAAAAAAAATAAACTTTTAATTTTGAAATTTTTTGTTAAGTTTAAGAAGGTTATCTAATATATCTCAAAGAAAAGAAAACTCAAAGTCTTAATCACATTTATATTAAAATATCAACTAGTTTCGGTCATATTTAACCATCATCATTTAAGAAATTAAGTTTACTTTAGAGACAATTATATCTCTAGTAAGTAAAGTCTTATAAGATTAAAAATTTTAATAGTATAAGCAAAGTTAATATAGTTTAAAATGAAGTAGGTACATAAATGTAAATCATGTTCAAATGACATAAAACGCATGAAAGTTTTTTTAATTTACGACTTCATTACTGCTGTGACGCGAAGCCAACCCTGTTCTTTGTTTATTACCATACCTGTGACGGGAAGTCTAGCGCTGATTACATCGAGACCCATCGCGAGACTCGAGAAACAGAATCGAATGTTTTCCATCGCAGTCTGACACGTGGAGAATAATTCCCGGAACTTCTAGACTGAGCTTCTAGTCAGAATTGGTTCTTTCGAGAATGTTATATTTTTATATAAATAGCGCGGCTTGTCGACAGACGACAAGTTTTAAATTAAGTGTTGGATAGTAGAGACAAATTTGTAATAAATAAATTAGAATTGTGAGTTGTAATAATCCCTGAGTATGGTATAAATTAATTAGTACGTTATAAATAAAGTGTGTTTTAAATAAATAAATAAACTCTAAATAAACTGTGACATTGGTGTCAGAAGTGGGATTGTAAATAAATAGTGGACAGAAGTGACTAAAAACTGTGTGATTTAAAAGTGGCTGAATTGCGTCGAGAACTAGAAGATCGCGAGCTAGAGACGACATGGAAGAAAGCAGAGCTGACCAAGCGGCTTAAAGAAGCACTAGAAAGTGAAGGTTTGGATCCGGAAACGTACCAATTTTCGGATAATGCACCTTCTGCTATAATTTCATCAATTTCTTCCGATATGGAAAGTAAAATGTCTTCTATGAAAAGAGGTGTATGTTTTGGGTCGCTAGGATGGGACAGCAAGAGTACCTTTGGAATTTAAAGAATTTTTAACTCTAAACGCAATTTATCGTGTACTAAAAAATCGGTAAATTATTTTACCCAGAACTTCCCTTGATTTAGAAATTGTAAAAACAGGGAACTCCTAAGCACTTAAATTTTAATAATTTAAAATTAAAACCACCAAACCCAAAACCCTTTTTCATATTTCTCTCTTCATTGATCTTCTTCGTGATCCCACCTGAATTCTCACTACGCGTCCACTCGGTATTCTTCACCGTTATTGAAAAATAATGATTGACTCCTTTTATTTATTTATTTATTTTATTTATTTATTTATTTATTTATTTATTTATTTATTTATTTATTTATTTATTTATTTATTTATTTATTTATTTATTTATTTATTTATTTATTTATTTATTTATTTATTTATTTATTTATTTATTTATTTATTTATTTATTTATTTATTTATTTATTTATTAACGTCTAAAAAGTCTAACAACATACAAGACAATCGCAAGACAAAAAAAATAACCTAACATTTTATAATTCGAGAATCCTCTTGACAGATAACGTAAAATTAAAAATATCACATTGGGAATAGTGCTTATTGTAGTTGCACAAAAGCCTATTTATGAAAGCTCTTTGTCCATAGTTTGTATGATGGGTTTTCTCAAAGAATAGTTGTGACTGTTGAGTACGCCTTAACGGGACAACGAAATTTACTTGAGATAATAATTTTTCACAAATAATGACTCCATTAATTACTTTGTAAAGAAAAAGTAACAAATGGTCTAGTTACACAAACCAAAGGGACAATTTTTATTATTTCCATTCAAGGGTGTCCTTTTTTGATTAAATACGATTCACTTCAGTGCTATTTTAAATTTTTAAAAAAATATTTAGGATCTCTAATCTTTGGCTTCTAAAATTTTCAAATACCAATTTTAGTCGAAATATGCCGATTTTTAAAAATAATTGTATATAACTGATCGGAAGTATAACTGGTTTCGATCCAGAAAGGAACCTTATCTGCATACAAAATTTGAAGATTTTCTATAAAGCCGGTTTTGAGATATCGTGCCAACGACAGACAGACCGACGGAATGGGGAAACATGTTTTTCGTAATCTAGGGACCCTAAAACTTGAAAATCTGAAATAATCTCAAAAGGTGACTTTTCACGATTACAATACTTCCCTTTTATAGTGGGAAGTAAAAAAAGGCATGTGAATAGCATTATAGTTATCTTTAGAATACAAAGGGTATAAGTTTACTCGTACCCGTTATATTCTTAGCCAATTCTGGGATATTCTCGACTATGATTCTTGTGTATTATGTGTTTTGTGCATATTTATTATGCTCTGCATAAAGTAATCTATGGAGAGTATTATAGGTTTCGAGAAACCAAAATTTTTAATACTGATCCAAATTTAAAAATTTTTGTACCAAAATCCTTCTCTCAAATTTTAATCAACTTTTAAAAATGTCACGATGTCACGTTCTTTGACCGCACGATAAGTCAAAAACAAAAAATAATATAGACTTGAAATTTCCAAGAAAAATCAAGCTATATAAGGGGACGAAGCCCATTGATACTGAAAAAAAATCTAATTAAAAACGAAAAATATCAATTTAAAACTTTCAGGAAAAATTAGGCTCATATAAGGGAAGAAAAATGGGAGTTGAAAAAAACTCATAAATCAAAAAATAAAAGCTCTGTTAGGAAATTTATTTATTTTTTATCCAGCCATCGGTACAAATCTGTTTGTTACAGGTGGAATACATATCAAAAATAAAATAAAATGAAATACATACATTAAATACATCAATACGTAAACATTAAATTTATATATATATAAAAAAAAAACTAATTTGGACAATAATACAACTAAAAAAAGAGCTAGACACATTAAATATTAAAATTGAAGTAAAATAAGACTTACTCCTACAAGATAAAACTAGGTATTACCTAAACCTAAACAAATTTTTGTGCATGTGGTGTGTTTTTGTAAAGACGTTTTACAGAAACCTCTGTATAACTGTATATGAAAATTGATTTTTTGTTTTCCGTATATACTTAAATTTTATTGTATTAATGGTTTCTATTTGCATAACAAATGTCTGATAACTGAATTTATTGTCCATACCTGATAACAAAATGCAGTCATTATTTTTATTACAATAAAAACATATAGAATGTCGAAACAGAATATTTCACAAATTTGTCAAACTATAGACATGGGCACCAGCAAAGAAATTGATTCAGAGTGTGTCTATAATAAAATTGTAAGCTCCAAAGACAGCTGTGTAAACTTGCCGTCTATATCAGGACAGAAGATTAAGAATAGTGAAAAAATTCCAGTACTGTGCACAGATAATTCAAAAATTACAATTGATCATTATCAATCTGATAACATAACTGTAAATATTGTGAATAATTAATTTTTAATGTCACTTTTTTCAAATATATCCGCAAACCCTTATCCGGGATATTATTCAAATCAAAACATACTATAATTTAAATTAAAAAAATACGAAAAATTTAGTAAATGTTCATTATAGTCACATTTTTATTATCTTCGTAATGGCAATTATACAAAATGATCTTCATTTCAATTGCTACATTTTTCTAACAATGAATGTATCTCTTGACAGGTTCACCAATGCTATGGCAGTGAATTAGGATTAACTAGCGACGACGAAGATTATATACAACCTGTTCTCGAGGACGACAAATTATCTGCCCGACTATCAGTAGAATCATTCTCTGAAGTAAGTAATATACAAGTTGGAATATTCCTGACACTTTTTCCATCCATTGTTTCATGAATTAGCAACTCCACAGAAGGGTTCGTGGTCTGTCATGTTCCCTTATGTCAACATTTATTATGTCTATACATATTATTGAACGTTTTTGCAACCCACTGACAATCTAATAAGGTTAAGGAATCATTAGCCATTGAAGTATTTTACAGTTCTTGCAACATCACCCTATGTAATTTTTTTAATTTATATAAATATTTTTTGCCTTTATTATTCACTCTTTGTTAAATCATTTTGTAAATAATTTCACTCTCTCTAGTTCTATTAATTTCTTTTTAATAGACTTATTTTGCTAGAATAATTTTGGAATTATGTTAATTTCTAGTAATATTTCACTGTCGCACATTTTCTATTTAGTAGATTTATAGTCAGTACTTTCATGTTCTATAATGATTTTAATAATTCATTTTGCAGCACGAGTGTCAAGGACAGATAGACATCATGGAGCAATCGCCCAATATGATGGATACAGACGAAATTAAATTACCAAGTACTATTGGACACAAAAGGACAGGTTCGGATTCTCGAAATCCCACAGATGCGACTGATAATTCCGAATCTGAAGCCGAAAAACCCATCAAGTAAGTTTCTAACTAACCTAACCCAAAGCAAACAGTATTTTGATAACACATTTTATATAAAAAAATCGTTTTATTTACCAAAGTTTATTTATTTTGGGATTTTAATTAAATAAGGATAATTATTAAAGAAGTTATTCAAAAAATAGTTCCACAGAGTTGAGAATCAGTCTTTCATAGCTTTGTAATGACCATTGTTGACGAACATCCCATTTCGTTATTAAAAAAAATATATGTGTCTTGTGATCATTAATGTTGGTGGCGGACGTTGAACGGTTGCATCATTTATTTTTTCAGAAAAAATTTTTCATTTTCTTTCCTGAAGGAAGCTTTCACGAAAGATACCCCTCCTAATACACCGCCTACCCCCGATTCTGACGGCCCTCACCCAAATTTGGATAATTTCAAGTGAGTTTTGTTTCAAAAACCCAGCTTATTGAGCTTTGGCTAACTGGGAATAGAAGACGGATCAATTTAAATTATCACTTTTACCTGCCACTACAAAGTTATTCCATATGAAGTGTTCTAATATTTTTTAAAAAATAATTTAAATTACTGATCCTGTAAGAAGCCACTTCATATGGAATAACTTCATTATTAGATCATTTAAAGTCTTCATACTAACAGCTTTGATGTTATAACGTTTTCATTAATCTCTTACTAATGTTTGTGATGGCACATATTGTCTATCCCAGATTTAAAGCTTAGCAACAAAAACAATGCCTAAATTCATTGCCTTGAGAACGTGCAACAATGTTGGTTGCACCTAAGAAATGAAAACATTTCAGAACATACCTGAAAAGATCTTTAGGAAATTTAAATAATGCTTGTGTATATTATGAACAATATTATTTATAGACACATATTGAGGATTATTCGGTAACTACGTGGCCTAACAAAGAAATCTTTGTTTTTTCGACAAAAAATTTAATTTTTCAATATAATCTGCTGTTTGCTCAGCAAAATTATTCCAAATTAGGAATGCTTTCATTGTAGGTCGATGAAAGTTCTCGAAACAGATGTTTACAGTAGGTAGCGATTACCTTGTAATTTGACAAAAATCTTTTACTGTCTAGCCATTTTGTCAGGTTTGAAAACAGAGATCATAATTGCTAAGAACCAAATCTGGGGAATAGGGTGAATGAGGCATTAATTCAAATACCAATTCATGAATGTTGGTCATTGCAATCGCAGACTTGCGGGCAGGTGCGTTATCATGATAGAAAAGCACTTTCTTCTTTAATTAATGAGGCCGTTTCTCTTCGAGTTTGTCGCTAAGTTGTTGCAAGAAATTGGTATAATACTCGTCATTTATTGTTTTCTCTGTTTTTTACTAGTCGACCAAGATAATTCCATAAGAATCCCAAAACACAGTTGCCATAACCTTTCCTGCTGACAAAACCGTATTTGCCTTCTTTGATGGCAGTGAACCTTTGTGAGTCTATTGTTTGGACTATTCAGTTGTTTCGAGAGTATAATGATGGACCCAGGTTTCATTGACGGCGCAAAAAGTCCTTCGGATTGTGGCGAAAATGTGCCCGAAGGTCTCTAAAACAAACTAATAAGTTTTTGCTTCGATGTAAGCAATCGCGGCAGCCCGAGAATTTTTTCATTTCCAATTCTTCAGTTAAAATTCTATACACACTGTCATTTGAGATACCCACTATGTCTGCTATCTCGCGCACTTTTATTTGACAGTCATCTAATACGATATGGTGGCCTTTTTCAATCATATCCAGGGCAGTAGCGGTTTTTGGACGTCCACGACAAAGGTCATCATTTATTTGTACTCATGTTTAAATTCAATAACCCAGCCATTGAATCCTGCTCAGCTTTGATTTCGGTTGGTGTTATGCCTTTCAATTTTACTTTTACTTATTTTAGAAATTTTTATTTACAATTAATAAGTGTATCTACATGTCAAATCAAAATTATTATATTCACACTACCGGGTCCTTAGACTTTTCGTGCAGGTCAAGAACCAAGGTGGATAAATCCGCCCACAATAATTCGTTCGACTAAATTGTTGTCAAATATATCAGCCCTCACTCCTTACCTGTTCGGTATTGAGTTGTGGTTTTATTTGGAAATCGGTAATGGGAAATGGTGATAGGATATGTCGTGTTTTAGTTATGGCTTTTGTCCCCTGAAAAAGCTAAAAAAATAGGGTTGTCCTTGTGTGTGAGTTATTTCAATTTTACACAATTACACGAGTCGTTCACTTTGGCGTACTGTCAAAAATAGACTAATTGACAGAATTCTACAGTAAAGAAGATTTCTCCGAATTTACGCCATTTCTCTCTTTGACCACGTAGTTACTGAACAATCCTTATATTTATAATTAAAATACACTAAAAAAAGAGATAAACTTCCTCCAAATTATCTTTAATAGCAACGAAAATAATTTTTTAAGCACGAAAATAAGGCACCCCAAATACACGAGTTACAGCTCTAGTCTTATATGTTCTAACGTTAAATTAATTCTATCAATATGTAAGGAAGTAAAGGAACTCTTAATTGTAAAAACATGTAAAAGACAAATAAAAATATATTGAAAATATTAGTAACATGTCACATTACAAGGTTGTCAAGGCTGAAGTTAGCCTTTTATATTCTGTTAGTTAGCCACAACGATACACAACTTGAAAGAGGCATGATTAATATAAATGTAGGCATCATCAGTACCGCTCAGCTTTCTTTGCTGGGGTAGGTAATTTGTGGTAATGGCATGACTAATATTCATTAACATTTTTGACTCGATATTATGACTAAACGAATAAAATAATACAAAAAGTAACGACATTAATGGGAAACTGAACGTGTTGAAAAATTTAGATACTCTGTATGAAAGACTGATGTGGTTTGGATGACCAGTTATTTTAAATGATCCGACTACTAGAGGAATAATGTTTAATGGATGAAAGTTTTTTTTATTAAATAAAATATGTTTATAAATATATCGCAAATGGGTTGTCTAAGAAAATACTGTAAATACTATTTATTTGTTTAAAGTAAAAAAGACTCTTTTAAATATTCCTCAAATGCTTATACTGTGTCCAAAATTTAATCAGCTCACCACAGGATGGATTAAAGCTTAAGTTTAAAATTTGGTGTTTTTCTCTTTATCCGTTTTTGAGTTATCTTCAAAATTCGAAATTTGCGCTTTTCATCAAATATCTCGAATACGGTCCATTTTAGGGAAATCATGTATAGGACCAAAATAATAGAGAATGATATCACAAACAATATTTATTAAGAATCATATACTTTCCTTATCTGTATGCAGAAAGGAAAGTAAAAAATAGTCATGAGAGTGTTTTCTTAGGAAACCCATTTGCTGTATATTTATAAACATATTTTATTTAATAAAAAACACTTTCATCCATTAAATAGATGGGTGATGCTCAACCTTACCTCGTTCATGTACTAGTACTAAGCTCAGAATAGCATACATCATAGAAGAATCTATACAGGGTGGTCCGGATTTCATATTTATATAGAGGGATTAGTTATCTCTCTCTATAGGGAGTTAATTACACATTTCGTTATACAGGGTAATAATATAACTTATTTTTTTTTATTAATATTTAATTTTTTAATTACGATATACAGGGTATATTATAAAATAACTTATTTTTCAGGCGACTGTTACAAAAAATGACATTACGGATTTATAAACATCCCTAAATTATAACTGTTTTGGCCGCTCGTTAGTAATTCTGTACAAATTTTATTACTTAACGATATATTTTTATTCGTTGAATAAAAATTTGAACCCATTCTTGCATTTAAGTCTCTTTTCAATGTTATGTGCACCTCGGCCGCAAATTTTAGATTCGACAAAAAAAATTAACTTTACGGCCTTGGTACACAAATAACTATTTTTGTTAACGTTTAATTTTTTAATATTTATAACTGGATTCTAATTTATATTTTTCTGATACTTGATAAGATTCTTTAACTATTATTGTATTAATTAAAATAAACTAATTGTTTAGACCTGACGAAAAAATCCAATGCATATGCCACCACGTTGGCAGAAAAGTTTTGGATGAAATTTTTCCTATTCACGTGGATCAACTCTTCACCTTACTGTTTACCAGTTCCAAATTTTACTTGGACTTCCAAGCTGCCAGGAAGACGACGGATCTTACTCAGACGCCTTGGACTCACAATCCCATAGATAATAGTAAAAGTAGAGTAGTCAATTTAACAGTATCTTTATTAGCCACCATGGGGCCCAAGAGTGCGCAGTGTACGGAGTCACAAGTAAGTTTAAAATCATTGATTGGGAACATTTTTGGGTGTTTGAAAAATATTTTGCTTGTACACATTAATATAAGTCTGTTGTGTGGGTAGCGGTGGAGGGGATGGTCGCAAAAAGAAAATTAAAAAAGCATGTTTTATTAAACCAAATCTTCCTCAAAATGAGGCAAGTTCATTTTCTAAAAAGAAAAAACCCATTGTGGTGGAGGGGATGAAAAAGTGCAAAAATGTACATACAATGTCACTCCACTCTAGTATATTGACAAAATATCGTTGTTAAATATGAAGGCTGTGAAGAATTTCAGTTATACAAACTAATACGATTTTAAAAGGGATTAATTAACCTCACAAATTTCAAGTTAATAATAATGAATTATTATTGAAATAACACATTTAAATATTCAAGGCGAAACATTTTCTAACTACACGAACACGTGTTTACTCATACTGTTTGAGATACAGGTTGTTAATTTGGGAAAGCAGCAAAGACCTTTTGTCGAAGAATTGTCCTGCAGCCAACTCAGTGACCTACAGTTAACTCCCTTTTTCTACTTTCAGTTATTTCTTTTTATTATCTCAATGTACATTCCTGTATGTCTTGTTATAGAGTGTTAATATTATGTAATTACCCAGGGTCTAGACCAGCCATACTCAACCTTTTTTTCTTTCGGGCCACATACATATATTTGCCATGTTGCACGGGCCGCAATATTTTAGGATGATAACCCTTTATTTAGGCCATCCATTTAAAATTAGTTAGTGAGAGTCTTTAATAAATAAAATACAAAACATAAATGCCTATCGGGTTACTGCAAAACCAAAATAACTCACATGTTTAAAGTTTCGAGAAAACGCTGTTCAAAAGGTTAAAATTTAATAAAAAATCAGTAAAAGCTTTAAACTGTTTTAACCAGAAGTGGTACACAGTAGGGTTGTAACGGATCTTCGCCTTCGCCTCCGTTACTGCGGAAGTTCCACAAGAAATCGTATCTTCGCCTCCGCTTCCGCCTCCGTCAAATATTTGCGGAGTTATAACGGAGATGTATTTACTTCAATCGGTACAAAAACGCGTGAGCTAATTAGTGAATATAATAAAGAAAACCGACTCAATTTAGATAATGACCCTTAATTGTGGTGGAGAAATACTACTAAATATAAAGCTTTTTTTCCCATCGTTCGCACGTATTTATCGGCGCCGCCCAGTTCAGTACCAAGTGAACAATTATTCAGCTGGCTTAATTTATGATCCTCTTAGAAATCACCTGGAAGGTGACAAAGCCGCAAAACTGTTATTTGTAAAATATAATTTGCCTCTCCTTAATTTTAATTACTAGTTATTTTGATTGCTAGTTTTGACGTTTATTAAAGTGTACTAACAATAAACCTATTTGAAATAAAGATTTTTTACTTTTGATAAACCATAAATTAATATTTTTCCATATCCACTTTTACCTTCGCCTCCGCCTCCGTTAACCTCCGCATCCGCCTCCGCTAAGAAGGCCTCCGTTACAACCCTAGTACACAGCAAGTTGTTATCATGGACTGTGTGTACAATATATGGTCGCAGAATATTATTCATTAAAACCTGGCAGATATTTTATAAATTGCCAGAAACTGCGGCTTATTTTTGATAAATTTGTTTTTTTTGAATAGTTACAAACCGTACTATATTATAAAAATGTATAATTTTGCAAAAACTATGTTCAAAATGTTATGTCAAAAAAATGGTGCACAGGTTTTTTACAAAGTCTAAAAACTACCTATACCAACATTGGATTTTTTTAAATTTTATCTGACAATTGTGTGTAGCAGAAAAAAACAGTTATTGCGTAAGAACTGCTTACTACATGCCTGGCATGATGTATTTACTCTCTTGGAATACTTCATTATTATCTCCAATTTCTTTCGCTAAGTGTTTTGTACCACTTAGTGCATCTTTCTCTCGTTTTCTTCAGTAATTTTATGGTTTCTTTCAGGTTCTCTTGCCTTATTTGTCTGCATTTGACGAGAGCGGATTTTTTCAAAATTTTTGTTCACGATTTGTGTTCACACGTGTATAGTTTCATAATAGTACCTAAAGTTTCGTCCATCTATTGACGACTTGCGAAACTGTTCCGTCAGAATTTATTCACAGCCAAACCAACCGTTATATGCATTTTATAACTTCATGTAGTTGTGTTTGTATAGTGTACACACCAGAGAATCAATGCATGTTTCGTGCACATATAGAAACACACAGTTTGTGGGTAAATACTAATTGTGTACCACTTATGGTACGCACAGTTTATTGGGAGAAGCTACAAAAAAGTAGCTCAGTTTGTAGTAAAAGATATGAAATATTTGCTCAGGGGTCAAAGTGTTAATAAACAATAACTCGAATAAAAAAAAAAAGTTTTCAAAACAACTAGTCTTCACAAAGTATAAACTAAGAATTTGTCGATTTGCATACTGGTCATAATATTCAAGGTCTGTGTCACTATCTTCAATGAAAGGTTCAGGTACAATGTCTCTAACATTATTGGATACAGGTAGATTGTGACAATAATGGGGAAATTCAACAGGTCTAGCACCTGATATGCAAAGTTTTAGTAAATCTTGGCATTACTAATGTCTTTTTTGTAAGTTTTTTCAAAACTATTTTTTTTTAACCCTTTCAGACATCCTACTGCCGGTATGGCTTGGGTTTTTCAAGCAATGCGAAAGCTGGTGTTTAGGTGATTTAAGAAGTGCTTTTGATCGTGTTAACGTCAGCATCCCTGGTCGTTACACTTTGACCAATTACTCGTTACGGCTTGACCAATCAATCATTCACCACAGCGATTCGGACATAACGTGTTATATTCTATTGGTTTTTGAAGGTTAGCTGTATCTTGGAAAGAAAGGGTGACATAATCATCTTGTCGAACCAATCGAGAAAGACAAGAGATTGCTCTTGGCAAAACACAACAAATAGCTTGGGCAAAATGTTCAAGTATTTCAACAAATACATTCAACAAAAAGAAGTATTCTGGTTGGTCTTTATCTTGTTTCGGCAAAAACACTATTACGAATCGGACTAAATACATTTAGCAAAAATAAGTTATATCTCTTATCTGGTTTAGGTAGACACACTATTACCAACTGAATACAATGTTATGATTATATTTCTGTATAAATGCCTTTCATCTTGTTTGTGCATATTATGAATACATTAATATGGAGTTAGATTTTGTTGACCATTGTTTATCATGACTTCGTTCACACTTGTTTTGTTTATGCCGTATATTATTCGAATTATAACTCGAAATGCCGAAAGTGGAGCTATCTTGTTCTTGCAGTACCCCTATTATCCAAACGTTTCTTTAAAAATTAACGTGATATTTAGCGCAGCGACCGAACAATGTTTTCGCGTATTTTGTTCAAAATTTTAAAAAAAGAATCCTATAGTTTAAAAAGGAACCTTCTTAATAATAGTGTTAGGGGCCGCAAAAAAAGCTTGGAGGGCCGCAGGTTGAGTATGGCTGGTCTAGACGCTAGGCAAATACCGGATTCATTAAAATATTTTTACTCTGTAACCTGAATCATTAATTTATATTTAGTGGTTACTTTTGATTAACTAATTTAAAAAACAAATTTAAAATGAAACGATATAATTTTTGTGAAATCTTTTTTTTACACTTTGGACCCCCTTACTATCACCCTAATCCGTTTATAACAGCAACACTGCAGCCTGCGGCTTTTTGTACTATCATTTGAAGGTCCTACGAGGAATAACAAGAGAGGCAGTCAGAGTGAGAAAGTAAAATCGATAGGCATAGTGTTACACCCCAATTTAAAGGAATCTCATTGGCGGCGGCTGAGTATTTAAGTAGTATGTTCTAATACAGTTACGCTTTACGTGTCAACTAGTATTAATTGATTGAGCCTCTGTGATTTTATTTGTTTAGAGCTAAACTTATTTTTATTTATAAAATTAAAAAAATTGGTATTAAACGACGTGGAACGTAGAAATTTCATACGTCCATGGTGCTATCGATCAGCAGGCAATAGCAGGTGGAAAGCGAAAAAAAAAGCATTGCTGTTTCACACGCTTGAGAGTTGCATGACAATGATTTTTTTTAATAAAAGGTGTTGCTTTGTTTTGAATAAAATTTGGCAAAGACATCGGACTAAAATTCATATCTCAAAATTTTTCTTGTGGAGAGTTTATTGAATTTTTATGTTGTATATTATGTCTGTTCATCAAAAACATTCATTATGAAATACGATTATATACAGGTCACTTTGGCAACAATATAAACACTGCAATTTCAAGTGACGAGGTCATAGTGATTTTTACGACATGAATGTAGTGTCTCTTCTTGTTAATCTTTGGTTCTACTTTATGATTCACCTCATTCATTCATCTCCATGTCTTCGATGATTAAGCGCTAGTGGGCTAGTTCCATAGTGGCATGTTCCATGATGAAACGTCCTAACCGACACGCATCCACGACGTGGCCGGAAAGCTCACTGCTTAATTGTTGCTAGAACATGGATGCACACTAATCTCGCGGCTAGCTGTTCTGGCCAGTGGAATCTTTATATTTCCACTAATTTTAATACCAATTACAATGTATTGTGGTGACTAGTTGAACTCGTACTCCAAATAATTTTGATACTAAAGTTTCACAAACCGCTTATTTAATTACAAAATTGAACCTTCTTAAAAATGTGGATTTTAATTATTTATTATTTTATTTCAGACGATGAACCCTTGTAGTAAAGCGGGACAACTATATTCTATAGATGTAGAATCTTTAAATGCTGGAGTACCTTACGCAGATAGTTTCTATGTGTGTGTTCATTACTGTCTGCAAAAAGTTTCAGAGACACATAGTTCGCTTTTAATGTTTGTACAAGTTAAATATAAGAAGTCCGTTTGGGGTTTAGTTAAAGGTACGTAGTAAAAACGTTTCATAATGTCTTTTTAGTAAATTTACTAACCAAATGTACACATTAGAGCGTACACATTAAAAATTAATCTAATGAGACATTTTTTTACTAGGTATGATTGAAAGAAACTGTTATGCGGGTTTAGAAGATTATGCAGCGCATTTAACAAGAGCTCTGCGTGCAGAGGGTGGTGACGACAGTATTCCAGAATCAAAGAAAAGGACTAGGGGCAGAAAAAGAAGAATCCACAATAATCCTCACGCTAGTGAAGAAGGTTAGTACTGTTGATACCGTTCCTTGCAAATTTTCAACGCAACAAAAATTGATTCCAAATTAAGAGATTCGCGCCTCCAATAAATTGCTTTTTTAGGCGACTGTCATAAAAAATGACATTTTACGGATTTACTAACATCCCATAAGTGTCACTTTTTTGGCCACATTAAAGTATCACTTTTTTGGCCGCATTTACTTTACGGCCGCTTTTTATAAGTTAACGATGAATTTTTATTCAATCTATAAAAATTTGAAACAATTCTTGCATTTAAGCTTCTCTTCAAAAACAAGAATGTAAAAAAAAAATATTGGCTCTACTTGATGAAACAGTCGCCTAAAAATGCCGTGTGCACCTCGCCCGAGGCGTAGTCAAGGCTAAGCACCTTCAGTTAGGCCAAAAAGATCAACTTAATGGCCTTTATGGTACACAAATAACTATTCTGTAGATTTCTGTGGATTTTGATAAGGTCCCTATATTATTAGGTAGTCCAAAGTGTACCCCCTCTGTTTTAGATTCAATCAATAGTATCAGATTTTATAAGTATTAATGTGTTTTATCTCAATGACATCAAAGTTATTATCAAGACCCACTGGCCCAGCTGTCAAATTCTTATTTATATTTTTTTTATTTCAGGTTCACCAATTAAATGTAAGAATACCGAAGGTATTTTTAGCAATGAAGTGTGTACCATTATAGTATTTTCTGTGTTATTATTATTACTTGTTCTAAATGTGATGTTGTATTACAAATTATGGTCTTTAGAAGAAGCACCTTCGTATAACATTCTGGACTTGCATTTATTAAAGTAAGTTTTTCAATAGATCGTCCACATGTTCGTAACCTACTTATACTAGTTGCAAATTGTTTTAAAATAATAAAATTTCAATTTTAGACATCCTCCACAATCGCACGAGGAGTGGATTCAATTATTGCAGCAACAAGAGGCTTTGCATACAGTAGAAGCACAGAAGTGGCAAAAATTATTGAGAAATTCCATTCAATTATTGAGACAAGTAAGTGGTATTAATTTTTGGGTGTTTATTGTAAGAATTTGACCATATTTACCTCAAAAGAATCAGTGTAATTGTATTTATTTTTTCATACATGATAAATTTGTCACTATATAGCCCATGTTTTACGTTGATAATAATTAAAACTTAATACTTACAGACGCATGCATATAGCATGTTTCCCTAGATGAGGCTGATTTGTAGTTTATTGAAAAATTGGAAATTTTCTGTCACTGGGTTTGGATTCGAAATCTTATCAATAATAATTTGGATGTCGGGAATTTATGCCCCGATGGCTGAATGGTTAATGCAGTGTGAGTAGGTGAGTTCAAATCATCCTGCTTACAGAATTTTTTCAATTTTTCATTAAATTTGTTCTCACTTTGGACGTTGAAAAATATTTTTCATTATTTCGTAGAGGTAGTTTTGTAATTTATTTGGAGAATTTATATACCTTTGTTTTTGCATCTATAACCGATAAGTTTTTGGAATTTTAAAAACCGATTTTCCACTATAATTAACTTTGATTATTTCTTGGAAGGGAGTAAGGAATAAATCTCTTTTACAGAAACCAGATTCATAACAAATTTATAACTGAAATTTATATCTGTGGGACTAATCTATTATCCAAAGATAATAAAATGCAACAAAAATGTTTACAATAACTCACGCACCGAATTCAAACTCCCCCTAAAATTATTTTACAAATAAACAAATTCGTTATCTGGCATTTATTTGCTCATAACTTTACAAAAAAAACATCATATAAATAATAATATTTAATAGAGATAGGTCGCCCGGAAAAGTCCACAGACAATTCCGATGGACTAGTATGAAAAGTTGACTTGTCCAAACACTTTTCCAAAATATATTGCGTATGAGTGAAATTAAATTAAAAAATTTGGCTGAATTGCTAATAAACAAAGGCAAAATAGTTTAAAATATAAGGAATAAAATAAAAACGTGAACAATGACCAAAAAATCCAAAGTTTGGAAGTATTTTACAAATGATTTGACTAGAAAACGAAAATAAAAATGCAAATATTGTTCCCAAAGTGTTTTTGAAAATGAAGAGCACAGGGGGGAAAATGATCAGGGGCACAAAAATAAACAAAGTTTTCGCTGTATGTCTTTTAATTTTAAGTAAAATACAGAGACTGTGATCGTTTTACTCAATCTTTAGCCATACCAGCAGAAAGATTGGGTCTAAAACTATAAGATGACGGTGTTAATTAATTTTTAACAAAAATAGACTCTGATCTATTTCAGGATGGAAAATCATTTACCTTTATGTATTTTATGCTCAAGGTCGACTACATTTCATGAAAAATCCTTTCACTAATATTTAATCTAATGATAGCAATACTCTTTCACGTTATTCGACCATTTCACAGTACTCATGCACGAAAAAAGTGCGGGACTTTTGACTAGTAATTTTGATCCTAACTACAATTGTTGGGTTGGCTACAACGATTATCCTTTGTTTTCGTTGCTTTCAAAAACTCTTATGTAGTCTCAGTGGGTGTATTTTTTGCATATCGATGGTCTAATTCTAATACCTCCTATCTGCAAAAAATCAAATTCACTTTTTCACGCCATTCGGTTGTACATTTACCAAGAGCGTAGATAAGGGGGTGGTAATGGGGGTAATTACCCCCCCAAGCCATAGTCAACTTTAATATTTTTTTAAACGTTATATTAAACAAACGTAGAGAGATAAAATAAATACAATAAAACAAAGAGTTTCTCAAACAATATTAACTAATTTACTTAACCTGTGCGGCCTGGAACCATCGCGGGTTGCTTAGCAGAAAAAATATACATAAAATGAGAAAAAATTTGAAAATCAATTAATCCACCTAACCTGTACGGCCTGGAGCCATAACGTGATACTTAGCAAAAACATACATATTTGTCCTTGTCCACCGCGACCTTTTCAGATCTATTGTGGAACTCCTTTATTTAGAGTCTAGCTTGGTTTTTTTTTTATTAACAGTGTCATGCATGTAGTTACATATATATGGTTTTTCTTCACCTAGCCACGCCTTCGCTTTGGCACAGGATTTTTATTGTCGTTTCCTCTTCTTTTTCACATAACCTGCACCTGCTCGATTGACGACATGCATGTGCCTTCTTAGGCGGTAACTAATTTACTAATTTCGTAATATAGTGTTTTAAAAAGTATGTTCTGATTTGTCATTTTCACTTTTGATCAAATCTGATTTCGATCATTTGTAATTTCAATCATATGCAATTTCGATCATTTGTTCTAATTTCGATCTTTTTTTGGTTTTGATCTTTTCTCAGTTTCGACCTTTTGAATTTCAGACTTAGTAGTTTTGTCATTCGAATTTTTATAATTTCGAGTTTTTGTCATTCAAATTTTTATAGTTCAAACTATTGTTTTCGAAATTTTCTAATAACGAAAACAAATTTTGGTGACTTTAAGAGGAAGTAAGATTTGTGCATGAGTAATAGATAACTTCAATAAGAAGATAGGTCTATTATAAAAACACATCATATGAAATTTTTTGAAATATCGGAGTCGTTCATTATTTTCTTGAAGTAGAGTGTATTTCAAATGAGTGCTAAAAACAAATTCTAATCGTTGGTTTTTGTGTATATTGCAGGCTGAAGAATCTCTAAATGAACTTCAAAGTTCAATTCATAGTACCTACTCTAGCAAATTAGTGTCAATTTTGCAACAGCAACCAAGCCAGGACGAAGATAAACATGAATTATAGGCATTTAGAAAAAAAATTATCGTAGAGTCACTTAACAGGTTTTTGTATATGTTTATTGTAGATATAATGGTTATATTGAAAGTGTTAAGTAGATCTCTATTTTATTTATTGTTATTGTTTTAAGGTATTTAGTATTTAATGTCATTGCGCACTGTGTTATATTTTTTTAGTATAGATTTTATGAATTGTTCCTTTTACACTTATGTACCTCTACAAGTCTACAACATTAAAAAATATAAATGTTAGTTCTATCAATTTCTTTTTAAATCTAATCCTATAAATTCAGGTTATCTATTATTTTTATTGTAAATAAAATATGCACACTTCACGTAATATAAAAGTGGTACAAAATCGTGCTTTTCAAGCTGTTTTAATTGATATTTTAAAATGTGTCAAAGTTAAACTAATTTTTAGGTTATAATTTCTAGAACAACGAAAATATTAGTAAAAATTAATAAGTGTAAAATTTAAATACATTCACAATTCGAAACAGATGAAATAAATAATTATTATAATAATTATTATCTTGCCATAGCTTCATTATTAATAATTTCTTGTAATCTAAGCACTGAGTTAATTAAATTTGTTGATAACTTTTCATCTTCTGCCAAGCTTTATTGAATCATTTAAAACATAATAACATTTAAGGTAATGATAACTCTAATTAGCGTATTTACTTTGCTAAGTTTGTATTTTCGGGGCGGCTCAGCTGCACCAATTCTTTAAATCAGTTTTTCTAATTATCCATAATCTTTCGTTACTGAAGCATTAAAGTTTGTTTCAACTTTTGCCTATCTTGTCGTAAATAATTAGTTAATGTTCAATCTTGTTGTGCTATAGTTATAACTGGTCTACCAGTTCCTCTTTTCTGTTTACAATTTGATTGTTGTCCCATTTTTGTAAAGCTCTCAAAATCGTGGTTTTGCTTCTATTAAATTGTTGAGCCAGTCGTCTTCTATTTTGGAAATGATTCGCATGTTATCAAACTTACTATAATGACCTGGCAACATAATAATGCACTTTGACAAACTTGACAAATCTTACTGTTTGTCATTTTTAAATGTAAAGTTGGTTTTACATTTAAGTACCAGTTTTATGCTAGTTTTTCAAAAAACTTTGGATGGTGAACATATTTTGTTCTTCGGGAAAAATAAAGCAATATAATTTTGAACATTCTTTATGAACAAATTATTGACAAGCTATTGCACTACATTAATATGTAATTTTAAAATACATAATGCAGACAATGGTATATATACGATTTTTATTTCCAAATATTTTGTTATATTAGTGTATCATCTCAACTCATGACACACATTCTGCATAAAGGTAGGTTTTATACCTAGTTTTTGTTTAAAAACGTAAATCTAATTTAAGTTGTAAAGGTCGATATACTTGAGGAAGTTTATGAGTCTTGGGTACTGTCCGGGTCTACCAATGATATCTTTTAAGGAGTTATCTAGTTTATCGATTCTACGGGCGCACATACGGCAATTAGCGGGAATTAGCACGCCAAAAATAGTTGTATTTTTCAAAGTAATTTTTTTGCTTAGATTTAATTGAAAGAACAATGTAAGTTGTAAGTTACATAGGGCGCGGCCATTTTGATTCCTATGCCACAGTTTATAGCTAAAGAATCAGATCGCTCACTCTGCGTCGGCACTTTTGATCTCAATGTTCCAATTTATACACTGCGCAACTCGGATAATACAATATATGACAACTGCCTATAATAAAACAGCAGTCTTCTCCGTATCCTGAATTTGTATCCCTGGAGTGGATGTTATTTTGGAACTTTCAACTGGTCCGAGTGAGCTAACTGATTCTTTAGCAATAAACTGTGACCCCAAAAATAATATTCACTGACACTGACAGCAGCAAGAAAATATCAGGTGCGTTTTAATCATCCGCTTCTGCTTCCGGAATTGTCGGTTTAGTCGTTTTAACCTGTCAGATTAAAACAAGAAAACCGACAATTCCGAAGCAGAAGCGGATGATTAACCCTTTCTGTCCCGAGCCTTAATTTACATGTTGGTCCCTCAGTCCCAGAGGTTTTTTCGTGCTACATTATGAGAACAAATATATACGGCAATGGGTACGCAGGACCTGTCCTAGGTGCCAACATTTTGCGGCTTTGGGACCAATAATCTAACATTTTCGGACATATTTCTACGGCATTGGGACCCCAATGGGTATAAAATTTTATAAGTAGCGAATATTTTCGGCTTTGGTGAATTGAGACCATTCCACCTTAAACGTATATAGGTATACGGCAGCTGGGACTACAGACCCACTTTTTAAAAAACATATATATGCGGCGTTGGGACAGAAAGGGTTAAGACGCACCTATTAAAAATATTGCGCCAAGATGTAGGCAACACGTAATAAAGGATCAAAATGGCGGAGTTTTCTATCTCCTTTTAAAAGGCACTCAGAAAGCCTCGCAGTGCGACCATTCTCCGTATAGTAAAAGAAAATCAAAGTATGTGGTCTGGCTCAATAATGGCGTAAAATTTCAAGTAATGTAACGTGGTACCGTATGGATTGGAAACAGTATGCACACAAAGTGCGTTTGACGCATCATGTCGAATGGCGTTTCTCTACCTTTAGTTACTTATCTGGAACTATATAAGATGAAAAGATCGATCCCAAGACTGGTGTTATAGCAAAACTGGCAGAAAGGAGAATTATCACTAGACAGTCATTAGTGATTCTTTAGTAATAGATCCTCTTCCAGTATTCTGACCAATCGTTCTAAATCAATTTTTTAATAGAGCCTATTAGATTTATGAATAAATGAATATTTTATAAAAGTGATTTGAAATAGCTTGTTGGCGTGATGATCGGCCATCTAGTTGCCTTCAGTACCCTCTTGTACAAAGGCCAAAATAATTGGTACATAATTTTTTTTCGATTAAAGTTTGGAGTTTTATGAATTTTTTGAACCAACGATGTTGAGAGAAAATTATTGATGAAAGGAAATCAGTGCAGATTACCACCGTTTGACGTTTTTTAGTTGGTAACTTTAGAGCTTTCGGGATACTAAAAAGTTCGCCTGTGTGAGTGCTACAGTTTATTGCGAGTCTGGAATTTGCCAGTGGCGTTTCAGCAGTTATTACTGAGCCACCTACTCCATTTTCATTTTTTTAAGTATCTGTGAAGAAAATGGAAATGATTTGTATTGATAATTTGACTGAAAGATGGTTTATAGGCAACTTTTTAGTCCAAGGAGAATTACGATGTCACTATTCTAGTATCTTAAAAACCTTCGGACAGTGAAAATATTTTTTTCTTCAGGAAAAATAATACGATATAACTTTAAACATTCTTTATTAATAAATTATTGACGAGCCATTGCACTACATTGATATGTAATTTTAAAATATATAAGGCAGGAACATCTTTCTAAGTCTAAATTAAATTCGAACAATGGTATTATATGATTTTTATTTCTTAATAGTATTTCAAAATATTTTACTATAATAGTGTATCAACTCAACTCATAACACACATTCTGCAGAAAGGTTTTATTTTTTTTTTCTCTATATAAGGACTTAATGGGTACTAAATTCGAACTAATGTATCACTAATTTGAAAAACAAAACCTTTTACAGAATATTATGTATACATTTGAGCATTTAACGATTTAACAATTATATAATTATTTTATTTCATCAACAAGTAGTCTATAATCACATCAGTAAATTCGAATTTTTTTTTTTTTTTTTTCGTATTAATACAGGTAACAAACATTATTGTCACGATAATACTTTGGTTTTAATTATACAGTATGAGGTGTTTTTTAAGTGATTTAACGTGGTTTAGCATTTTATTTCATTATTATGATCGTTCCATAAGATGCCCTGAAGTGGATGAGACATGCTCTGTGATGATTATGATGTGATGTATTGTGCAAACATAGGCAGTGGTATCAGCTTTTGGAATAGTAAAAAATGGGCAGTAACATTACAGAATAGATGAACAACACAGAAACGAAAAAGTGCTACAGCTAAAACCCTAGCCCCATGCCTTATTGATTGCTTTGTCAAAGTACAATAGAAATAAATGTCGTTTTTGCAGTGTAGTTTTAACGAATAGTTAGTTATATTCGCGTGCACTATTTTCTCAGAGTACCTCCATGGTGGGCATTGAAGGTCAGGTATTTCTATCCCCTCTACAAGTGCTGACCATTACTTTCGTTTCTGTATTGTTCATATATTCTGTGGTAACATGATAATGAAAATGTGTGATCGACGAGTTCAAGAAGAGGTGATGTCAATGATCCTTTTTGTTTTTAAAATAAGAAATCTGTAGTAATATTGACATCTATTCTTTTTTAATCCTATCAGCAGGTATACAGGTTGTACAAATAAAAACTCAAAGGCCGGATATTTTGGTAATAGAGATATTTTAAGTCTGTAAAAACCAGTTCATAGAACGCTAAGAGAGCTTCAGTTTTAGATATAAATTAATTTTAAATAGGTCAATAGGTAGATGGTCAATATACTTTTTTCGATGGGATGATCTTTCTTATATAGCGCATCTTATAAAAAATGCATTTTTAAGCAGATTTTGTTTTATAAACTAATTCGATAAATCTAGCCATTTTTGATATACAGAGTGGGTCACTGAAAATAGTTTCATCCTGTTTTTCGGCATTTAATCATTGGATTTTTAGAAAATGCTAAAAGAAGTCGATTTTTATTCCCAATTGAACACATTTTTACAGTATAGACATCTGTCATGTGTCAACCCTCTTTCTTCTACTTCTCCAACCCCTTAATTTTAAATAAGGAATGTATCATTGAAAATGTAATTTTATGGGGAAGACAGAAATATGAGAGTTTATTGCGATATTTTTAATTTTAGCGCCCTCTATCGGGATAAAACACCTGTAATGTATTATAAAGTGTGACACTTAATTTTAAAGCTAATTTAATTACTAATTCAATGCACCACAACATTAATATAAATATTTCCATATTGCACTTGCAACAAAATAAAATTAGCAATAATATTTAAAATAATGCATGAATAATTTTCAAACTATTACAAAAATATGGAGTATATTTATATTAATAATTTGTGGTGCATTGAAATAGTTATTAAATTTGCTTTCAAATAAGGTGTCACACTTTATAATACGTACAGTTTTTTATTCCGATAGAGGGCGGTACAATTAAAAGTATGGCAATGAACAGTCATATTTCTAAATTCCCTATATACCTTTTACACATTGTAGTATCACACTCTATAATACGTAGTAGTTTTTTATCCCGCTAGAGGGCGATAAAATTTAAGTAACGCAATATACAGAAATATTTCTGAATTTTCCATTAAATTACCTTTTCAATGATTTGCCATACATGGTACATTACTTTTTTAAAATTAAGGTATTGGAGAAGTGCAAGGGAGGGGGTTGACACATGACAGATGTCTGTATTGTAAAAATGTTTTTAATTTGGAATAAAAATCGACCTGTTTTAGCATTTTCTTAAAATCCAATAATAATGCTGAAAAACAGGATGAAACTGTTTTTAGTGACCCACTCTGTATATCAAAAATGGCTAGATTTATCGAATTAGTTTATAGAACAAAATCTGCTTAAAAATGCATTTTTTACAAGATGCGTTATATAAGAAAGATCCTTCCATCGAAAAAAATATATTGAGCGCAGCGCCATCTACATACTGACCTATTTAAAATTAATTTATATCTAAAACTGAAGCTCTCTTAGTGCTCTATGAACTGGCTTTTACAGAATTAAAATATCTCTATTACTTACCAAAATTTCCGGCCTGGGAGTTTTTATTGGTACACCCTGTATACATGCTTGAATAATGTACCGGAACACCTAATTTCTGGTTTAACTAAACATTGGATTAAGTGTTATGGAAAGATTAATTTTTCTTCAGTAGCCTTGATATTTGCAGTAAATCATTTTCTTTCTGAGAGCCATTCTTTTGATTTTAAAATAATTTTGAAGGGCCAGTAGCTTACGGTCTTTAAAATACGCCATAAAATAAAACTATCAAAATATCTGATATATCTAGCAAAAACTCAATACTGTTTAATATAAAATTCGTTCCTATTTACAGTACAAGTCAGAATTTAGATACGGACTGGCAAATCTAATGGTCAAAAGAACAAAAAATAATATTAGCAGATATCCGTGATTAGTATAAAAAAGCTACAGACTTAAATTTTTAAAAATATGACAAGAAGTTTGCAAAATTATTATAGGGTTTACGTCAAAAATTAAAAGCGACTTTTAGTTATTTTTATGTTTCAGTATATGCCTTATATTGACTACAGGAGACTGTTTGTCCTTTTCTTTTCTATTAAATCTAACAACTAATAATATTGTGTGATTACAGATATTTACTTAAATCGTCTCATACTGTATATAACACCAAATTTTGATTCTGCCCTCGATAAATAAATATTGGAAAATTAACATTTATATTAATTACTGCTAATATAATACTTTTAAAAAAGGCTTTAGTTAATAATTATATTAACAATGTCTTACGATTCCCTTTTATCTTTTTTAAAATTCAGATAGCCATTAGAAAATATTACAGATTAAAGCGGAAAATAACCAATTAATTAACTTTACCACTCTAGAATTATGCATTCCAATTAAAATAGCTAGGCGTGGGAAAGGTTAGTATATCTAAGGGGTTATTTTATAAAAACTGCTTATACATTTTTCATAATTGTCAGGCTTGGCGACTACTATTTCGAACAAAAATAGCCTCCAAGATGGAAAACTATGTCGCAACCCCCTTAGATATACGAGTCCTTCACACCGTCAACCTATTTAACTTTATTTTCAATATTTTTTACTTTATAAACGTTGAATTGTGAATGAAAATTGTTCTGCTACCGCGCAAGATGCAACAGTGGAAGACCGCTCTATTATAGAGAGGTATAGTTGATTATTGACTAAATTGTTTTATGTAAACAAGATTAAATTCTGAAAAATTAAAATAAATATTTTTTATCAAAATGTCCATTAAAAGAAAACTCAAATTAATTTAATTTCGTTTTTCATCAGAAACAGTTATTTACATGTAAATCCTTAAAATATAGAAACGTCAATTCAGAGAAAAATAGATTTTTCAATCGTATTATGAATAGGTACTGTAATTAATAAAATTCAAATAATGTTTTTCTGAAAAACATTTATGAAATTGGTAGAAAAACATGTAAAGTATGTCAGTTTACCAATAATAAAATAACTGTTTCAGAAATATCATCCAACGACATTCATTATAATGACGTTTCTATTTTTAAGAATTTACATGTGGGTAAATTTAAAGATGCTTTTTGAGTTGGGACAAATACTTTCTACTCTAGTGGAGGAAGATTAGTGGAATCATAAAAACAAGATTACAAACGTATACGTACACAATATAAAAATTTTACAAAAATGTAATAACCGGTACAAAAATGCAAAAAACTAAAAAAATCCAAAGTGCAGCTAGCAGAATAAGTGAAAGCAAAAATTCTACTAAAAGTCTCATTGTTATTTTTTTTTAAATCTATGAGATGTCTTCCTCTTGCCTCGCCAAAGATTCTGCAAAAATGAAAATTCCAATTAGTTTTATGCAAATCAATAATAAATAGATACAATCTTGGCTTTAAAACCTATTCTGCTGGCTATACAATGATAAAGTGATATCATGGTTTTCAAGAATATGAAGGCGGACTAATTACGACACAAACTTTTATTGGTAGGTACGAAATTAACATTAATTCCCAATCATATACAGGGTGGCCTATTAGTGCGAGGAAGTCCAATATCTCTCTTATTATCATGAGAAATATAAGAACTAGCCGCACCTTTTTTATAATTGTTTCAATAAATACATTCTGGTACTGATTTCGAGTTTTACTCTCATATGTGTAATAACTCAATTCAAAACCTTTTAAAAGTCCAAAACTAGACATACCTATCATAACAACATAAGAAGAATCACAAATCGAACCGAGAGAACAATTAAAAATTCAAGATTATCGCCTGTAAAAACGTCAATTAAAAAATTTCAGCTTTTTTGACAATTAACCATAGGCGGACCTTTGAATCTTTATTAATTAAAATCGAAACTCAAATTTTAGTGTTTATTTATTTTAACAATCAAAAACATCGTAAATCCAAAAAAAAATAGTATGACTGAATAGGTATTCTAAATACCTTTCAAACGAGATGTCACTTGCCATAAGGTCCCATTTAATATTATTGGTTTCAGTTGCCTGGTGACGTCCCTCTTACAACTAGTAGAGAAGTTTACAATAGTTCATTTTCACCCTCCAAATTTCATCAGTCTAAGTATCACCGTTCAAAAGAAAAGAGGGGGAGGGGATTTTTGAGAAGCACTGTATAAAGAATATAAACGGTAAGCTGACATTCTTTCCATGTTCTCCTATCGATTTAATTTTTATTATATTTGTTAATGATTTAAAGAAATCTAACTTAACTTGTTTTTTAATCACAGAACATTTTGCCAACTGTCTAATACAGTTTATATTAATAGGTCGGATTTAGGGTATATATTAAATAATTAAATTTTTAATAATAATTTCAAATGGCTATTGCTTGTTTGCATCCCGTGCTATAACTCTGAAGACTAGTTTTCATAGCTATGACTTTCTTTAACTTTGAACGAAAACAGATATTCGAGAATTTAGAGATGGACAGTAACAAATCCGTAAAAATGTACTGTCCTTTCTAGGCTAAAACTTTTCCTCTGTTGTATTTATTTTTAATTTAAACTTAACTTCCCTCCCTCATCGTGTGTCGAATTTCTCATGCAGAACAAAAAACCTGTTGTCGGGCCCCCCTTACAGCGCTGCCCGGCCCCCTTTTAAGCCCCCGCCCCGGGAATTGGTCCCGGCTACCCCCCCTCCAGTCGGCCCTGCCATTCTGTATTAAATCTATGAAAATTTGCTGCTTTTTCTTTTAATATATATCTAGTAGTTTTTAAATAAGATGATTTCGAACCCTTTTTCTTCGGGCTACGTACTCTTTTCACGATATTCACTTCTAAAGTACCTAAGGCGCTCGGGAATGGAAGGAGTTAAAATAAAAGTTCCTTTTTGACCGTTCGGAGATCGTGGAATGGAGTGTGGATCGGGCATGCGCATGTGATTTAAAAGGATAAGATAATTGTGACTAATTCTTAAGTAAAAATGCTTTTTATTTGGTTCCCGTGCATACCATTAATATGGAAGAAACTTATACGGTTGTTACTAATAGGTTAGGTTTTATGTATTAGTATGCCACATTGACAACTGACATATTGAACTCTGAGAGTAAAAGGAGTAAAACCATATGCGCACTCCGTTTACGCCTACTTACTCCACTCCACTCTGGAGTGCGCAGCCCGAATTCACCTTCTGTAGAGTGCTGCCTTATCGTTGCACAAATTTAAGGCTCTCATATTCTCGAGAAATATAACGGGTTCTTTCGTTGGTTAGTACATTTTGGTTTCGCCACTGACTTATTTATATCTTGTTGAAAGGGGGTGAAGCACGCCCTAGAGAGGCCACTTTTGTTACGACCTCAACTTTATCCCTCGATATGGTTATCTTCGGCCCAACTCTGTGTCGTTCCAGCACAAATGAGTGAGAATTCCTAAAATCGAGTACGTTCTGTTCCTCAGGAAGGTCAGTTGACATCGGAGAGCCATGAAAATCTAATTCCCCGGGCAGATTCGCGGCTCTCTGACTCACAGAATGGCTTAGGCTCGTAAATACCTGAGGGTAGCAATTTTCTGTGAGGTTCGTCGTCGAATGTGATTAAATCTGTGATTTCGTCATCTAAGTATGATTCTCCTCGATAAAAGGGATGGTATCTGGGATCAGACTTAGAATGATTAGAAAATGATACGCCTGAATCTGAATTAGGACGTGGCAGAACAAGAATATTATTAAAACTGTTAAATAGCTAATGATACATTTTCCACCTAGGCATGTAATATGTTATTACATACGAAGGATTGTTTCAATATCACTGTTCATTATTTAAACAGGATAAAACGGTTAATATAAAAATAACCTTTTATCTAAACAAACAAACAAACAAACAGCTTTAAAGAACTTTATTGTATGAGCAACCGTTTATGGTTAAATAGACAAGGTTGAAAAAGAGGCGAGTTCATAAAGTTCGGTTACTTCAAAACCCGACTGCTAAAATTGTATTAACTTTATCATTTTTGGTACTAGGATTTTAAAATGTTCCTCTAGTACATAAACTTCGAAATTATTCATAAATGCCAGACTGAGAAGAAATATTTTTGATGACTACTATTTCCAATCCTACGCCGGTCTGTTATAATAATTGCATCAATGTTTACCATAATCACTCCTTCCTACCAATTAACGTGCAATTTTTTTTTTTTTTTCGTAGATTATCCAATGTATCAAATTACTCTTAATGTCTCTCAAGGTTTGACTTTGCGAAAGCAAGCTCATCGGAATACAGAATTGGGTCAACGAATTCCTACTATTATAGTAATTAACATTCATTAATCTGAATGCATCTAAGACAAACGATTAACAACTTAGTTTGGCTAGATTAATAATTACTGTCAATTAATAAGTTCTGGAAATAAATTGATAATTCAATGATGTTGATTTTATTTTTAAATTAATATACCACTATGTATATCGACTTATCAATTGTTTGATATATTGGCAGTTATAAAGACGGAATTGTTAGTATTATAGGAACTTAAATTAAAAGGCCACTTAGCTAAATTATTAAAAATATAAAAAGGCAGTAATTATAATAACAATAATTATAAAATTATTTTTAATACATAATTAAAAGCTAATTCAAATAATATTTAAGATAAAATATTTTGAAATGACGTGTGTTATGGATTTTTTCTTGTTAATAGTTTTACAGAATCCATTTGTTGCATTAGATGCCAGATTACAAATGCATACTATTTCGAATGTAAATTTAATATATCAAAAATATAATATATACACAAATTAATAACCCCATCAAAAATTGTAGACATATTTATATAAAACAGAATATAAAAATATAATTTTTTAATTTGTTAAAATAAAAAATGGCAGTGATTTAAATACAAAAGTCATAGATATTTCATAGAAATATAGCGACAAAATAAAAGTCAATATATTATTTTAAATATAGCTTATACAGTACTAATATTTCCCAATAGCCATACATTGAGATGAGCGACATAACGGCAATGGAGACATACATTTGATCCGTTTCCTACCTCCAAGTTAGACAAAACCACAGCCAATTAGATGCACTGTAACCAATTATAACTCTTTACGATTATAACCTCATTTTAGATAGTGAAAGCAAGTACTGTATAACAGCAGTGGGTAGCGCTGATGCAGCGTGTCTGCTCCTCTTAAGATATCATCACTGGGATAAGGGGGCATCCATTAATTACGTGAGGTATTTTTGAGGATTTTTTGACCCCTCTCCCCCACTGGTGAGATTTCGTAAGATTTTCCTCAACTCCCTTCCCCCTCCCCTAATCTCACGTTAGATTTTTCAAAATTTTTGTTTTGGGTGTAAATACATTGGATTATTAAAAAAAAAACAAAAACAATATGTTCTATTACTTTTAGTTAAAACTAGCAAAGACTAGTATTTGAGAATATTGCCGTAATATAACATTTCTAGAAACATTCTTTAATTTAACTTTACTTTGACGCAATTTTACACCGTTTTCTACTAGAAAAAAATTACCATAAACCGGGGCTACTTGCAAATACGGGGCCATTTGAAAACTCATGTAGCGCTCCTGGATTATTGCCTACAGCCAACCTACGTTTGACCTAGCAACTACGGGACGTCTTAGATAGTTGCACTAATATTTGTTTAGAAACAACAGGTGGTATTAGGTGCGGTAAACATTGTTGTTAAAGAACTGAATATTCTCAAGTTTGAGGTAAGAAAATACAATTATTTGGTCACTCATATACTTTCTATCATACAGAGACTCAGGTAAATAATAGAAATTCAATCTATTTTTTTCTAATAGTTTATTTAGTTGTTAATTCTATTCTAACCTCAAACTGCATCTGGTGTTTATTTTCCGACATGAGCGTCTCATATTATTTATTTTTAATTTTTTAGGGGTGATTTGAAATTGGTACGCACATATTAAAGAAAGGTCGGAAGAAGAAAATATCGCGATTATACCCAAGAAAAATTAGAACTGGCAGTGGCGGAGTATTAGCCAGGCAATTTGATAGCCATTGCCACTAAATATGACATACATTGTACAGAATAAGTATTAGAAATTAAAAATTTAAAAAAACCGACTTCGAAAACGTGCAGATGCTATTACATCTTTACCAAATTTATATGGGACCACCCCTGAGGTATCCCCTTTCTAACAAAAAAATAATCATATCACGGTGCTTGGGAACCAACTTTAAATGAAAAGTTTATTTACTAGACTTTTTTTTTGGTCAAAGTATTTCTGAAGGGCTATAGATTGGCGCAATATATTTTTTAAAATCGGTTCCAGCAGCCGTTTTTGAGAAAACTCGATTTTTCATGAAAAAGTGACCTTTTTT